ACTCAGTTCATTCAAGTGGATTCCTGCACTGATTAGGTTAAGTGTTTCACAGTCCAGTTGTTTCACCTGTAAACATTCTAGCATTGCTTCACACATGAGCTTTTCGGGGACACCTCATCCCTAAACCACCACAATCCGCTAGCACCTGACTACTGTTGGAATATCTTTAGGTTTACAGCTAGCAGTTACGAGCAACTCCAAGTGCTTGAAAAATCTATGCTCGTTCAGGCCTGAAAGGAACACCTGTAGGACAGGTTGCTCTGCTCTAGTGAGCCTTTAGTGAAACCAATCCTCAGCACTTGTGGTTAGTGTTGCCAGACTACCAGGCCAGGAAACTGATAATCAGGAGCTTCAGCGCATGAAACCCCTGACTCAGAAGACCCCCTCCCCTAAGGACAAAGACCCTTCCAGACTGCTTTCCACCACGACAGCGATATTTAGAGCTTCCTCATAATGCGGTTACATTAGGCATAAGATGGTTGGCTTATGGATATTATCTTGCTTATGTATGATTGACGGGCATGTCCCACCCGAACCCTATAACAGTTGTATGCATTCCAAAAATAAACAGACTGCTGGATGTCGACTGCAGTTGTCACCAGCCAGCTTCTCATCAGCCCCTGGTGTCTGTGTGGTGACTCCATGTCTCTACCCTCAGCAACTGAGGTAGCTGAGTGACCCAGTTGACCACACCAGTAACCAGAATGACCACAGACTACCATATCCATGGCCCAGGATTTGATCTCCTGCACTTCCCCCAAATGCTTATTTGCCATCTGTATTTTTTCTTTGGTAAAATTTTAGTTACTCTTCTAACCTATTCTTTTTTAGATTATTTTTTCATTGAGTTTTCAGAGTTGTTTCTGTGTTCTGCATGAATATACCCTTTTAGAAATTAATATTTTAACAAATATAAAAATCTTTCTATAATAGAAATTTTTGAAATAATTGATCAGTTAAGTCACAAATTAGAAGCAATGGTTTTATACCAAAAATTGTGACTAGTCTTACTATGACATATAAAGGATGAGCTTAGTTCGTCAGACTTGCTCAGAATTAATTTTTTGTAATGTGAAAAATATTAACTTTGTCTTTTGTGGTTTTTAAAGGAATTTCAGAAAAGAAAAAGTTTGTGTTTTTAAAATACAATATGTAACTTTGCCATTTGTGTAGACAACTAACATCATTGTTCTGGTGATTTAGGGTTAAAAATGAAGCATATTAGTGAGTGGATTTTTATATTAATTTCCAGTGAATAATAATTACTCAAAATAAAAAATAATAATTAGTCAAAATGCCCCCAATTTCAACCTGATTTCTTTTAATTTTATAAATTCTACTAGACCATACTTAATCCTCAAATTACAGGTAAGATGTACTTTTTCATTCATGGATCCCAGTCAATGGAGTAAAGGATCTTACATTTTTCTTTATTTATAGTGCATTTATATAGTTATATTAACATCTCCCCCCAAAATGTTTTTGGTCTTACTTTTACCCTCCTGGTTTTCTTTATTTTTCTGTGCTAGACATTTCTTCATTCTTGAGTGCTAACTCTTCTAAGTTGAATATGCATTCCACAGTGAATATGTTGTTTTATTCTGTGCTTGTGTGTGTTATCCAACTTCTTAAAACAATTTGAAAACCCTTTACTGCTTGTTCTGTATTATAATTTTATAAAGTCTTACAAAATGACCAGTATATTTAATTAATTAATTTATTTGCAGTACTGGAGATTGAACCTAGGGTGCTTTACCACTGAGCTATATTTTCAGTCCATTTTCTTTTTTGAGACATGATCTCAGTTGCTTAGGGATTCGCTAAGTTGCTGAGGCTGGCCTTGAACTTGAGATCCTCTTGCCTCAGCCTCTTGAGTTGCTGGGATTAACAGTCATGTACCACCTTGTGTGGTATGACTAGTGTATTTTAATCACGACTAAAACAAGTTGCATTTTTTTCACTGTGACATCATATTTCTTCCATTAAATTGTTCAGTCGCCTTCCTCTCATCTGCTGTGTTATAGTTAGTATAATAATTATTGCTTTTGAAAAAGTGAATGTTTTGTAATGCACCACCCTGCATTTATTTCTATTAATACTTATGCCTTGATTTCAGTGCCAAAGGACTTTCTTATAAGTGATGGATTATATTAGGTTGCCTGTGTTTACTTTGGTCATTTCGTCACTGTCCAGGTATTCTACAATTAGCAAAGTCTTTGCTGCTGCCAGTAGCATACCAATGACCCAGCAATATTATTATTTTTACAGTGCTGAGGATTAAACCCAGGACTTAATGTATGCTTATCAAGCTGTGTACTATTGAGCTACATCCTCAGCATAAGCAAACTTTTCTTACTTTTTTACCAGAAGTCAGTGCTTTCTTTGTTAAGCAGATTTTAAATCTCCACATTGGATCATTTCATTTGATACCTTTTCTTGTATATGAAATAACTCTAAAATGGTACAGTATCTCAAGAGATTTAATACTAAAGTAGTATTGTTTATACCTTTGACTACCAAGTTAGTCACTGGTCATTTATCTTGAGAGTTTCTCTACTTCCTTCTACTGTTCTTAAAAGAAAAGCAGATCTTTAGATAGCTGTTATATTGTTCAGAAATGCTTGTATATGAAGTATATAGTGATATTTTATATGATATTGGAAAGCATTACTTAGAATTTGAATTCTCTTATATAATGTCATAATAAGTATTAAAATTCATTTAGAAAGGTAAGGTTCATCTATTTATTTATTTATTTAAGTTCAGTTCTTTAAAATTCTGAATTATTTTTCAGTAACATTAAATTTTATTTAAAAGTGCTCTTTAGTTAAAATATTTTCATTAAAATATGAATATAAGCATTATCAAATTATAGAAAGCACAAAAGGGTAAAGGCTTATAATAAAAATGCTATATGCATGTTAATATTATATCCTTTCTTATAATTTAAATGAATTTTAAAGAAAAAATGCTAATCACATTGAATACATTTTTACATTTTGATAATGTCATTGAACAGTAAATACAAGGGCCTTGTATTATATTTTACTTTTCATAAATTACAGATGTTTACATTTTGTGTTATTTTGACTTTATCTTTATTTGCTTCTTTAGTACATTTTTAATATATTCATTCACTCTATACTATTCATATCTTTGTAATATGTTACAATTCTTTCCTTTAATAGTGAAACATGTAAACAATAATATTACATTTATATTGTTTTTGGTCTTTATTACATATTATGATAAGACGAGCAACTTTAGCATACTTTTGTATAGTATCTTTTATTATTTGGATTACTTTCATGAGGTAGAGTCTCCCAACCAATAGAATTTTACAGTAATATGAAATAGACATTTTCTTTTTTGGCTCTTGATACGTAGTGCCAAATTGCTTTCCAAAAGAGTTCTGTCACTTCTATTGTATGAGTATGTCAGCTTTTTTACATCCCCACGAGTGCTGAGTATTATAATTTATATACTCAGCTAATTTGTTGTGTAGACATGTGTATGCCTTCAATTGCTAACAAGAGGGGTTCATTAGTTTTCAACATTAGTGTATCATTTTTTTCTTTTGTTCATTGTTCATTTGTCCATTTATATGAGACTTAATATTTTTATTTCTCTTTTGTGTGAGCACTTAACTTTTGGTAAAATAACCTTTTTTGTTTTTAAACATTCTCTTTTTATTACAGTTAAATTTTTGTTTGGTTTTGCTTTTATATAGAAAAGCTTTATGTTTTGTTCTAAAGTTGGTTGTGGTACCAGGTGCAGTGGTGTACGCCTATAATCCCAGCAGCTGGGGAGGTTGAGGCAGGAGGATAGCAATTTCAAAGCCAACCGTAGCAACTTAGCTAGGCCCTAAGCAATGTAGCAAGATCCTGTCTCAAAATGAAAAAGGGATGGGGATGTGACTCACGGGTTAAGCACCCCTAGATTCAGTCCCTGGTACCAAGTAAATAAGTAGAAATAAAGTTGGCTGTAGTAATGGTGGAGTGCACACTTTAGGTGGATGAATTGTATGGTGTGTGAATATATTTTTTAAAAACTGTGGAACGAAAAGAAAGAGGGAAGGAGGGAGAAAAATGAAGAGCAAAGAGGTTGGTAGTCTTGGAATTTATATACTTGTCAAAATAGGGAGGTCTTTACCAAGACATTGATATGCTTAAATTTTACTCCTCTGAGTAAGGTGGAAGTAGTTGGGCAACCACCCTAGGTTTCTAAATAGAGTGTTTATTTAAAGTATTTTGTCTTGCTTTGTTGTGTCTCCTAGCAGTACTTCCTCAATTTTATTGTATTTGGTTTTGGGTTTTTGTTTTTTTTTTTTGTACTAGAATATGTTATTTTTCAAATTTGCAGTCTGTTTGTGGCATCTTTCCTTACTTTGCAAGGCTGATATGCTTTGGTTAATTTTGTGTGTGTATTTTTTAAAATCAAATTGTGATGTGTGTGTGTGTGTGTGTCTGTGTGTGATACACACACACACACACAAATTTTCTTACCATTAGTAAAATGTATAGAAGAGGAAGCAAAATGTTTCATCATCTCTTGAAGTATAAGGTTTTAATTTTTATGCCTCTTACACTGATTCCAGGGATTGCATTAATTAGTGAAATTTTGGTTTCTATAGAAAACTCTCATAGTGATGTGGAATGAGGAAAGAGATTTCTGTATGTTTATAAGTATTTCTGAAAGTGGAATCTGATTTTGACTCATTTTGTTTGGCAGTTTATGAATTTTATTTTTACTTTCTGTTTCATGTAATGGTTAATTACAGTACTTTATATATTTAAATTCTTGTAGTTGTATATTTATAGGAATATTTCTTAAATATGGAAATTTAGCTTGTTTGCCATATGAGACTTTAGTTCATTTCTTTAATATATAATTCATAATTTCACTTAATTTTATTTTAATGTACTTTTAGTCAGAAAATTTCACATTGTGACATTGAAATATGCTAACATTTTTTTTTTCATACTGTGTTTTCCTCATAGGTTTGATGAACTGGTAAAAAAATTCAAAGTCGAATATCATGCTGGTGGCTCTACCCAGAATTCAATTAGAGTGGCTCAGGTTGGTTAATTATTATTTTAAAAAAAATTTTTTTAGTTGTAAATGAACACAATACCTTCATTTCTTTTATCTATCTATCTTTTTATATGTGGTGCTGAGGATCAAACCTAGTGCCTCACATGTGCTAGGCAAATGCTCTACCACTGAGCTATAGCTCCAGTCCTGGGTTGGTTAATTATTTTAAAAATTAAAGAAAAGATGCAAAATGATTCTGAACTTCTGATAAATTTGTTCCAGTCTATATTTTACTGCCATAGAATAGTTTCGTTCATCTGAATTAGGAATTTAATAGTCATTGCCATCAAATAAGCAAAAATTATTTTAATTGCTATTTCTTGGGTTATTGGTAAAGTTGAATATCTTTTATTGTTTATTGTTCATTTACATTTTTCTTAGGTATTTATAACCCTTCACTATTTATTTTATAATTTTTTACATGTTAATGATTTGTAGACATACTTCATACTTTATGGATAACATTCATTTTTATCAAATAAAGTATTCCTTGTTTATTATTTGTAGATTAACTTTGCATATGTTTTTTATTGTGCCAGATTTCTTAATGTAACCTTCAATGTTTGTTTGTTTGTTTTGGGCAGGAGGTACCAGGGGCACTAGGCCACTGAGCCACATCCTCAGCCCTATTTTGTATTTTATTTAGAGACAGGTTCTCACTGACTTGCTTAGTGCCTTGCTTTTGCTGAGGCTAGCTTTGAACTCAAAATTCTCCTGAGGTGCTGAGATTATAGGCATGTACTACCACACTTGGCTCAGTGTTTTTAATGTAATTAAACTTTATGGCTTCTGAAGCTGGATGTAATGGGACATACCACAAACCCAGCATTGGGAGGTTGAGGCATGAGGATGGAACTAGTGTAGGTGTCTGTCAGTGGATGAATGGATAAAGAAAATGTGGTTTATATATACAATGCAGTTTAATTCAGCCATAAAGAAAAATGAAATTATATCATTTGCAGGAAAATGTATGGAACTTATATTAAGTGAAATAAGCCGTACGCAGAAAGTCAATCATCATATGTTTTCTCTCATGTGGAAGCTAGAGAGGACAAAGTAAAAGAAAGGTAGGGGGAATCTTAGGAAAATCAAAGGGAGATCACTAGAGCAGAGGAAAAGAACCAGAAAGAGGGAATAGTAGAGGGAAAGGGGAAACACTGAGGAATGATATTGACCAAATTATATTGTTATATTGTTTGCATGTATGAATATACAGTAACAAATCCCACCATTTCGTACTATAGTTTACCAATAAAAAATATGAAAAAACAACCCAAAACTTTATGGCTTCTGCGTTTTATATGGTGTTTAGAAAGAATATTTTTACAAGATACAAACAATTCTGCTTTATATATAGATACAAATACATGCATGTAGATGTATATGTATCTATGCATCTGTTGAAACGTATATATCTGGGTATATCTTGTATATACATATATGCTCATATGTTTATGTGTATGTATTATATGAGTCTATATACTTACACCCATACCATCTAGTGGGTAATTGAATAAACATATTTTGAGATATATATACTCTTTTGAGTTAGCGGTCAAAGCTACTGTGGAGTTAATGAATTTGTGTTCTTTTTAAACTTCCAGCTTTGAAGGATATGAAAAATCTTTATGTACCTCTGGTTCTTATCTCTGAAATTTGAAAGCTAGGTCAGAATCCTGCTTAGTTCTCATGGATGGATTAATTGTTATTTTTGTTGATAAATGCTTTCCCTTTAAATTCTAATTAACTTCAAGAACTGGAAAATTGAGAAATAAAATAAAGATGATTGGTTGATTGATTTCTATTTTGAAATGACTCTTTTGTATTAAACATACAATCAAATTCAGGTGTAGTGTAATATTTTAGGTTGTAAGAAATGAATCTTTTAAAAAATTTCTTTTAGTTGTAGAGGAATACAATACCTTTATTTATTTATTTATTTTTATGTGTTGCTGAGGATCAAACCCAGTGCCTCACATATGCTAGGCAAGTGCTCTACTACTGAGCCACAACCTCAGTCATATAAAAACTTAATGTTTGATCATTTTTATGAAGAAGACTGTGGAGGACATCTTTGTATTGTCAATCAATTTTTATTGTTTTTGTAAAACATCCTGTTAGTAGTCACTTTTTGAGCCCAGGTTAAATAGGGAATAAAAGGTGATTTTCTTTTTTGTTCTTAGATATTATTATTAATCTGCTCTGGCCATGATGACAAAGACCGTAGAGTAGGTAAATAAAACGACAGAAATTTATTTCCTTACAGTTCTGGATGCTGGAAGTATAAGAACAGGGCTGTTTTCTTATGAGGGCTCTCTTCATTGCTTCATAGATTTCTGCCTGTTTTCCAGTGTATCCCAGACTATGTATGCACCTCTGTTACTCTCTGATGTTGGAATGGTGACCAGCTCTCCCTCTTTGCCAGGATTTCCCCAGTTTTAGCAAAGTCCCATATCCTAGGAAACTCCTCCTCAGGATACAAAAGAATTGAGGAAATAAGATAGCCCCTAAAGTAGGGATTTGATAGCAACAGTAATTTTTTTTTTTAATATGGAGGATTGAACCTACAGGTCCTTTACTGAGTATATCCCAAGTCCTTTTTTGGTTGGGGGAGTAGCGGGGATTGAACCCTGGGATGCTTTTCCAATGAGCTACATGCCCACTACATTTGTATTTTTATTTTAAGACATGGTCTGGCTAAGTTGCTGAAGGTTTTCCTGAATTGCTGATGTTTGTCTCAAACATAAAATCCTCCTTCCTCAGCCTCTTGAACACTGGATTATACATAAGTGTCACTATGCTCAATGTGAAAGTAATGCTTATTTGATAGTATATGAATTATCCAACTTCTTTTTTTCCCTCTGAGAACAGATGATTGGGAGCCATGATTTTTGGATCATGGTTGTGATTATTCATTATTATACCAATATGTGTTTGTGGTAGGTAAAATAACAACCTCCCTTAAAGATTCCTGTGTCCTAAATCCCTGGACAATTACTTCTCAGTCAGCAGTTACTTAGTCTTCTGAAAATATAATCATTGAAAATAGTGACCTCTTGGGGGCTGGGAATGTGGCTCAGTGGTAGAGTGCTTTCCTAGCATGCATAAGGCCCTGGATTCAGTCTCTAGTACTGCATCGGTGGGGAGAGGGAATGGACCCTAATTTTGCTTAGGCACGCCACACAAATGAATATATATCATCAGGTTGTGTTTGAATAAAGTTACATTTCAGAAATAAGTAGTTTTGACTCTGAAAAGAACTTTCTCGGTTCCTTTACTAAAACTTTAACTTATTTGGAATTTGTTTTTGACACTACACTTCAGTTACCTTTGTCATTAAAAAAAAAAAAATACAATTATGTGGTTGATAAACAGAATAGGAAAACAAACATTTGATACAAAGTAGATATTTTTGTAAAACTAAAAACTAATTCCTAAAATGTGAATTCCTACTGTTGCTGTTAGGTACAGTATTGCTTAAGTACATACTTTTGTTGAGAAATTATTTAGTTTGATGTCATTACAATGGACTAAGAATGTGGGCTTGATACATCAGAGATACAAGTCGGAGTGGATCTTACTTTTGACTATATCGTTTACCACACACCAAAGGATAATCTAATTGCTCTAGTCAGTTTGGAGAATTACTATTGGAAAGGAAACACAGGTAAAAGTATCTTATTTTATTGGCTAAAAAGAAGTATTTCATTGTTAATATCCTATAAAGATGTATAGTATAATCTGAATTTTAAAAATAAATATTAAAAAATAAGAATTTTAAACAAAAGGTGAGTAAATAATGGATTTTCTTGATTGTGTAGATTCTTTTCAGTCAAATTTGCAAGTATTTGACCATTATAATTTTAAATATTTTTTACTATTCTGTTCTTTCTCATTTCTTCTCATAATGAACATACATGTTGGTTTGCTTGATGGTTGTTTCCTTGATATTTCTTTGAAGACGTCTACTCCACAAATATGCTCCCTTGGTATTTATTATATACTATTATCATGTATTTTTTTGGAGGGGGTCTGGTATGGCTATTCATAAAAATTTTCTGTACTGTTTGAAATATTTTCACCACAAGCTTAAGCTATACATTTTCTTAACTCAGATCCACTTCAGTTACTTAAAATATCACTTCTTTACTACCCTCTTTTATACTACAGTATACTCCCAATTATTAGAGCCCAGAGGTCAAAAAAGAAGATGTGGTCTTCATTCCCCACCTGCATCCCATCTTGGTAATACTAGGGATTGAACACCCAGGGGTACTTTACTACTGAATGCATCCCTCAGTCCAAACAGGGTCTTGCTAAGTTGCTGAGGCTGTCTTGAACTTGTGATCCTTCTTCCTCAGTCTTCTGAGTTGCTGGGTTCAGGGGTGTGCACCATCACACCCTGCTTTGTCTTCATTTTGATGATTAGCATTCTGATTTAATAAGATAGAATATCATGTTGGGTAATTAAGTGAAGCAGAATTAAAATCTTTGTGTTCTATCTGGCAACCTCATCTTGCTTTCCTTATTGAAGATAGTTCTCTCACCCTTAGACAATTTTAATTTTGACATCTTTACATGTTGGAGATTTTAAGTATTGCTTTTCAACCACTTTTAGTTGTCTTCAATTTGGGAAGAATTGGAGATTGTCAGAGTTAACTATTCATCATTTAAAATACAATTTCAGTAAATGTCCTGTTTCTTTTATGCTTTCTGGAGACAACAGTTTTCTTTGGTGCTTAGATACCTTTTGGTTTCTTGAAAATTTATGTTATTATGTGATAGTGAATTTTTCAAAAGCCCAATGTCCAACGTATATGAGGTATTTCTATATTGTTTTAAGTTATGTGGACTCAATTGTTTTTAAGCTTCTTGCAAAATTGATTTCACTTTCATTTTTAAAGTATCATTTTTGTGTTCTGTTTTGGACATCTGATCAAATATTTTGGCTGTCTTCTTTGTTAACTATAATATAAACAAATAGT